TCGCCACAGTATTGAAGGCAAAAGATGACCCAATAAAGTAATGATGGTGTGGTCATAATAATCTGGCCACTCAGTGTATATATATATATATTTAGTTGATTTCAGAGAGGAAGGGAGGGGAAGAGAGAGAGAGAAACATCAATGATGAGAGAGAAGCATTGATCTGCTGGCTCCTGCACACCACCCACTGGGGATTGAGCCCAGGACCCTTCACTCCACAGGCTGATGCTCTATTCACCAAGCCGACCAGCAGGGCAGGGAACAATTTCTCTTATTCCCTAAAAATTAGATGGCTGTTGCTGTTTATTAGCTTTTATATTCTTACCTAACTTTCAGTTTTTAAGAGGTTGTTCTCTCCTATAGTGTCCATTTCAAATTTACCAAAATCATGGACAAAACAAACAATACTATCTTCATCCCTTTCCAAACACTTAAAAAAAATAAATCACCTAAAAGCTAATATACCTATAAAAGTTACTGACATCATACAGCGTTTACATAAGTAAAACACTTTATTTTCTTGACTATAAATTGCCTTCTTTAGGCACATTCACATTTAGAAATTGGTGTCAAAAATATACTTTACATATACTTTGAATATGTAAAGGAGAGTGGCATATTCGTCTATTAGGGGATTTTTGGAGGCTGAGAGCTATGGGTATGGGAGAGAAAGTTTGATTCTATGTAGTTCATAGTATATTATCAATGCTCAGTAAAAGATAAGTGGACATAATAAAATTTCTATTTGAATTATATATAAAAGAAAAAAAACACTTCGAAGTATATATCTTGTTAATTAGCCATTTCAATGGCTCAGCCTCCAGTGACACATCCTATATTTTAAATTTTACAATCTGAATTGTCACCTGTTATATCATATTACAGTTTGAGAATGTGACATTTTACCCCAGAGATTAACTGTACTACACTAGCTGGCCAAAAATATAATTTATAAAAGAATTTGGAACTTAGTCACAAAGCTTCAACAATACAGAATAATTTTACTATTTCATATTATGATGCTTTTCTTAAGCATAGAATGGCACTGAGAGCCCTTCACCTTTGTATCCTGCATTCAGCAAAGTTGCTTATGACTAGATCTAATTGAATAGAATAATCTTTTCTTTCATTCATCTTTTCTTTCCCTGCTGCTAAAAGTATCCAGGGAGGCAGTGCCCTAATTGAGAAAGCACATTTCTCATTTCAGCTTTGTCAGTCTGAGCTTCCCAAAAAAGAACAGATGATAGCAATCAACAGGAAATGGCATGGTGACACAGTCTTGAACTCCTTCACCTTTAAGCTCATTTCACCCCTTAACATATTTTTTTCAAGTGGTCAGTGGCTATATTTAGACTATCATTATCCCTTTGGTGTTGAGTAAAGCTTCATGGGATAAGCCATCTGCCATATCTCAGAATTATATAGTGTGTGGGGACAGTGGAAAGTTAAATTGAGGTCATTGAGAATCTCCCCTTCCAACAGTAGAGACTAGTTAAACAAATCTTCATTTCCATAATGTAAACTACTACATTCTCGCTTTGTTAGTACTGCTTGTTCAGAGTTGCCCAGACCTACCCATCCAAAATACAAAATATTCTTGTCAGAATATTCAAAATATAGTCTTCCAGTTTTGGCTAAACTAAACCTCTTCCATATGACTGCTATTAAAGCTTAATTATCTTAACAAAGACGGAAGCAAAGTTAAACTTGGGAAATGCATTCTCAGATCAGCATTCCCTTGAGTCAAAAGCTCAGGTCACATAATTCCTGTAAATCAAATCTGTCTTCTTACAGATGACTTACATAAAAGATGAGCTATTGAGGAATGAATTTTAGACACTGAGATTCACCAACTTCATTCTGATTATTTTGTAAATTTCTCATGTTCACCCCCTACTAAATCCCACCTTCTTTTCCTCCGGTATATTAACCAAAAAGTAGCTAAATCACAAGGAATCTGTAAAGCTTAAATTACTCTTTCACAGTGCACAGATCATTGGCAAATAAAGCCATGACTGAAAACTTACTTGCATTAATGAGATAAAAAGAATTTAAACATTCAGAATGCCCCAGAAACAGATGACTGATTTTCTAAATCCTATTTTCTAACAGTTACACTTTTTACTCTATACATAAAAATGCTTTCAGCCCTGTCTAGGTGGCTCACTTGGTTGGAGTGTCGTCCTGTATAGCAAACGGTTGCGGGTTCGATTTCAGGTCAGGGCACATACCTAAATTGTGTTCCTCAGTGTCTGTCTGTCTGTCTGTCTCTCTCCCTCTCTCCCTCTTTCTCTCTCTCTCCTTCCCTCTCCTTCCCTCTCCCTCCCTCTCCCTCTCCCCCTTCCACCTCCCTCCCCCCTTCCTCTCTCTCCCAAAAGTAATGAAAACATATCCTCAGGAGAGGATTTTTAAAAAAATTTTCAGTTTCAGTAATGTCTTGTTTTTCATGGAAACTACTGAATAGTTATCAAAAATTGACAAGATTATTCTTACTTTTAAAAAAATCTTTAATTTTGTTTACTTTTTAAGTTTAACTGTATCTAGGAACTCTTTATTGAGATGTCAGTATAACAACATGATAAAGACATTTAGGATCAGAAAAATCTGAATGGGATACCTGGCTGCAGCATTTACTTCAAGTGTAAACATGGGCAAGTTACATAAACTCACTAAGCCTTAGTTTCATCACCCATGAAATGGGGGTAGTAATAATAGTAACTTCAAAGAATTGTGAAGATTAAATGGAAGTCTTGGCATTTTCTTTCTTTTTCAGGCAGGAAGCTCTCCTGGCTGCCATTAGTGAAAAAGATGCCAATATAGCTCTTTTGGAACTTTCATCCTCTAAGAAAAAGACCCAAGAGGAAGTGGCAGCACTAAAGAGGGAGAAGGATCGTCTGGTGCAGCAACTCAAGCAGCAGGTAAAATTAAATGCCAGAAGGAGTAGTGGGACCAGCTTTCACACAGTTCTCCACCCATGTCTTTACTGGCTTACATATTAGGCCTTGTTGTCATAGAAGACATCTGATCTTTGTATCTAATTAATTTTCTTATTTTTTTAGGACTTTCATATCTTTTTAAAATTAAATTCATTGGGTGACATTGGTTAATAAAATTATATAGGTTTCAAGTGTACAATTCTATGATACATCATCTGCGTATTGCATAATCTTCATAAGCAGGGATTTTCATCGTCACAAATCTCTGGCTATGTCTAGTAAATGCCGAGTATTTTTTGTAAGAGTACTGGTTTAGAAAATATCACAAGTCTTCTATGAGAATGTTTTTTAATTTTGTGCAATGATTGGATGAAATTAGTGTAATTCTGCCCATTTGAAATGGAAAAGGCTTATTTTTATATCCAATTAGAGTCCTGCTACAGATGCACTAAATATTGTTACTTAAATGATTTTCAGTTATTCAGGGCTGGGTAGTCTCTAAAGGTAAGAACAAAGTTTTGCCCTTTTCCAACCTAAACGCTCCCCAAATTTAATGATTAATATTTCTGTAAGACCTTTGATCTGTGAAAATAAAAGCTACAAATTTGTCCTTTGGTGATGTTTGCACAACTGTGTAAATATACTTAATGGACAGAACTTAAAATGGATACACTTAAAATGGATAAAATGGTGAATTTTATGTTAATGTATATTTTACCTCAATTTAAAAACTAGAGGAAAAAATTCATCTTTGAAATTAAGGAGGAAGCTGAATTTTTAAATCTGATTCTCCTTCCATATCAGTAACCCTCTTTATTGGCCATTCCTGTATGATTTTCAGTGCCTGCAATCCCATCTTCCATTATCATCCATGCATTCTCAGTCACATTTTCTGTGCCTTTACGCTGCCCAGATTTGTTCTTCCACCTGAAGTAATTAGAGGACGAGTTTTTCAAGTGAAGGGATTTCTTCTTCCTATTTTGGGTGATCAGTTGTCAATTGATATCATTTTTGGCATAGTCCTATGTAATAAAAGGATTATTACATAGGATTAATATGCAAATAGACCAAACGGCAGAACAACCAGACAGCCAATCAAAGCATAATATGCTAATGATATGCTAAGGTTGCTCAACCACTTACTATGATGTGCACTGACTACCAGGGGGCAGATAGTCAACTGGTTGACCAGTTGCTATGATGTGCACTGACCACCAGGGGGCAGATGCTCCAATCAGTAGGTTAGCTTGCTGCTGGGGTCCGGCCAATCGGGACTGAGAAAGACGGGCCAGACATTCTCTGGAGCCCCTCTTTGGTCCCTCCCTGGCCCGATCATGCACCTGTGGGATCCCTCAGCCTGGCCTGCACCCTCTCACAATCCAGGATCCCTTAGGGGATGTTGGAGAGCTGGTTTCAGCCCAGTCCCGCAAGCCATTCCCTTTGGGAGAACGCCAGACATAGGGCTCTTGGCTGGCAAGTGCAAGCCCGCAGCAGGCACAGTGGGGCTGGGATAAGTGGGAGCAGCAGGTGGGAGCTGCAGGCGGTGTTGGACTGTGGGTTTTGGCCCAATCTCTGCAGGCCACCCAAAGGGACCCCACCCGTGCACGAATTCATGCACTGGGCCTCTAGTATTTAATATTCAACTTAACAAGAATCAGTATTTACACAGTAAGCTGAGAAAATACCAAAAAATGTCCCTTTTCTATAGTATAGATAGATGACCAGCAGAAACAACCCATTGCTCATTTACAAATGAAAGAAAATTTTTCCAGCGTCCTAAAATAGTTTGTCACAAGAAAAGGACATCATCCAATATTTGGATGACTATTAAGTAAAACAGAAAGAATGTGCTTATTAAAGATAATCTATATAGTAGTTCAAAATTGAAATTTGGTTTATCAAAGCTGATAATATGAGTAGAGTGCTGATTGCCATAGGCTAAGGGGTGGGGGAAATGGGGCGGTGCTGGTTTAAGGATTCAAAGTTTCAGTTACATAGATGAAAAAGTTCTGGAGATCTAATGTATAGCATGGTGACTACAGTTAACACTATACTGTATGTATATTTGAAATTGGCTAAGAGAATAGATCTTAAGTGTTCTCACCACACCAAAAAAAAAGTAACTGTGTTAGGTGATGAAAATGTCAACTTCATTGTGATAATTATTTCACAAAGTATACTTATATTAAAACACCACAAAAAATAGAAAAAGAAAACACCACATTGTACACGTTAGGTATATACAATTTATATGTGTCACTTATACCTCAATAAAGGCAGGGGAGCTGATAATATGAATTAGAAGGATATTGTTGAGGAAAGACTTTCACTAGTTTGTGAGTATATATATTTAGCAATATCAGTTCTCTTAAGTAGTAGTTAGGCCTAAAAATACAGACAAATGATTACATTAATTCATGCTCCCTCCACGCTGAGACACAAAGAAGAATAACAAGTCTAGCAGACTAGAATACTGTATCTCATTCACAGTGGCTTCTGATGACTTGGCTCTCAAGACTATATGGTTTCAATCAATAGATAAGCGTTATGATATTAATTAATCCATGAATTTATAATATTAGAAAGGAGTCACTGAAAAATTCCTAATATCTTACATCCAACTATAGGCTCTGAATATTTTGTAGTGATGTGACCTATATATGGAGAAAGATAAAGTAGTTCTTAGGAGTCTTTCCTAACTGTTTTTCTGTCTCCCTTCCATATAAAGTTTCACATACCTGCCCTCTCAAAATGTGTCTGAGAGTATTTTATCTTTTCTGATGACTGAGTAGTATCGCATTGTATTTATGTACCACATCTTATTTGTGACATCATGCTAGGGGAAATAAGCAGACAAAAAACATCAAGAGCCATGTGATTTCACTCATCTGTGGGATATAAAACAGAAAGCAACAAATGATCAAACAAGAAAGCCAAGTAAACAAAAACTCAGAGACATAGACACCAATATGGTGGTTACTAGAGGAACGGGAGAGTAGAAAAGGGTGAAGAGGACCAAATATATGGTGATGGAAGATTTACTTTGGGTGGTCGGCACACAATGCAATATACGATGGTGTATCACAGAATTGTATACTTGAAACCTATCCTATCTAATAATAGACAAACATGGTAATTGACCATACCTTTTCTACGCTAACCATGTGCTAATCAGCAAGATATGCAAATTAATCACCCAGAAAGATGGTGGTTAATTTGCATATCCCAGCTCCCAGCGAAGCAAGCCAGGCGGCGGAGGCCGGAGCAAAACAAGCCGGGAGGCGGCGCAAAACAAGCTGGGCAGGATGGCAGAGGGAGGCGGAATCGAAACATGCCCGGCCT